AGAGGCAAATGATTTTCCTCCAATTAAATGAAGGAAATGAAACCAGACCATATTTAATTGATTGAAAATTGTTTCATTTCTCCTCATTTTCCTAAATCCAAACATGGGAAAGTGAATTCATTGACTCACTTTAGAATTCATTTTCATTACGACCCAAACCCATATGCTAAGATATGCTACTGTATTGATAAATAAAAGTTAACTGGCCATGGATGCTGATACATCCTGTAACTTATAAGAGATATCCTGGATAGTGAATTTTTGGTGACCATTCAAAGAGTCTACCATTCTATATATTGTCACACTTGAGGCTTTAAGCTGTATCAATGTGGCATGGCTTTAAAAATCTTGATTTGGGAGTCAATATCAAGGGTTCAAACTCTATATTGCCAAGCATTGAACTCTTGAGTACTAGAAAAAAAAAAAAAAGAAAAAAAGAAAAAAAAAGCTCAATTAATTTAAAAATCTTAATTTGGGGAGAAAATATACAAATAAGAATACCAAATTTACATTTTTTTCTATTTAATGATATTAACTTTTTTAATTTCTAAATAAAATATCAACTTTCAACTTTTTCTATTTAACGATATCAACTTTTAACTTTCTCTATTTAAAGCTACCAATTATCAATTTTTTCTATTTAAGAATTAATTGAATAGTGATGCTGACATGGTTAACGTATTTTTTTACTGAAATGTTAAAAGTTGACATCTTTAAATAGAAAAAATTGAAAGTTGGTATCTTTAAATAGAAAAGATTAAAAATTAGCATCCTTATTTACAAACGGACAAATTTAACATTTTAAATAAAAAAAAGTGTAAAGTTAACATTTTTATTTACACCTCTACTCTAATTTGGGAGTCAATATCAAGAGTTCAAATCTCTATATTGTCAAGCATTTAACTCTTGATGTACAAAAAATAAAAAAGTGGCATGGCATGGCATGGCATGGCATGGCATTACCTTGCCAGCCAACATGGGATTTAGGCACATCACTATAGTAGATACTGTTTAAAACAAGATAAAACGTCAAAGTGATTATAGACAAGGGAATTGGGAACCTTATTGGCTCAAGCACATAGCTAAAGTTTCATAAAAATGGAAATAAGGGCTTGCGAAGCTTCCAATTTCTCATTCATTTTTCAAATTACAACCTAATCAGCAATTTCATTGATGACATTTTCATTTTCGTCCAAGCTACCGAAGTCTGAAGAAAGATACAAATGTTACGAAATGATCAAACACCTTATTCCTTAGAAATTGATGAAGCATGACCATAAACCCAGGATACCAATCACTCAGGATACCAATCACTTACTACGGGACTGTTGTATGTGTGATAGCGTCAAGTAACTGCCCTATCTGCTGAACAATGCAGGAAGAATACATAACCCTAAGGTTCAAAGTTGTGAAAGTACTGATAAATGCTACCACTTTGCTAAAGTTTCAAAAGATTAGACGGACTTTGCACTACTAGGAAACAAAATCTAAGGGATTGGGCAAAAGTAACAGAAAACAGCAGAGAAGCTTCTTGACATTTCTGATTGAAAATTGAGGGCTTGCGGTTCTTTGAAGATGGAAAAGTAGGCGCAGTAAATAGTTAACTGTCAGGTTGATGAGTTCAAAGCCTTCCTAACATTTCTAAGTATACCCCACATAAAGGTGGAAATGATGAAGAGAATAATACCAGTAATGATGGCATATTTGAGACCTAGGTTAACCAACAAGTTTACCAGAAGCCCAGCAAACACAACCCCACAGAAATTTGCTGATAAAGCTGACCAGAATGGCATATCAAGAATGGAAGCTATGAAGGCCCCTGTCCACGCTCCTGTTCCAGGGAATGGAACAGCCACAAAAAGCATCAGCCCCAACCACTGAAACTCTTCCACAGGGCCAGCCTTCTCTTTGGCCTTCTCAAATAGCAAGTTCACTAACCGAGATGCTGACTGGTTTCTCCGGGAGAGAAAAGAAGCAAATTTCTTCAGGTAAAGTACAATGAGGGGTACAGGAACCATGTTGCTGTAATTTAAGCTCATAATTTGTTAAAACTCTACCAGTTTCTTAAAATTATCAGTCATGCAAAGTGCTAACAACTCTAGATATGACAAAACTGAGCCTGACTTCCAGCTCAAGCATTTCATCAAACATATCTAAGACCATAAAGCAAGATGGAAACTTTACTGTAATGTTACTCTAGCCTAATCAATCATGATATACATTCTGTCAATTGCAAGGCAATGGAAACAAGTAAAAAAAATCAAACTAAAAAATCAGGCACAACATACCCAAACCCATAAATTTGTAAATGTAGAACTAAAATGAATGAAGGCAAAAGAATATACTCAATTGGTTCAGGTATTTCAACAAACAAGGAGGAACCATTTCTTAAAAGAAAGGTTTTTGGAGAAAGAAAACTGACCCCAGAATAGCTAGGACTGTTAAAACAGTGGGCTTGAGTTGCATCCAGTAACCGACAGGAATAGCTCCACGAAGCTCAAGGACAGGAAGCGTAGCGAGAGCAAACACAACAGCTTCATCAGGCCAGCCTGAGCGGCGCAACGCGGCGGCAATGTTGAGCCCAAAGCTGGATGCTCTAATGGAATCAGAAGCAGCAACAGCTTTAGCATCCCCAGACGCAGCAAACCAAGCAAGAGACACAGAAGCCCAGAACACAACCCAGAGGAGAAACTTCACCGGCTTCCCCTCAAAAGAGGGCAAAACTTCTTTCTCGTCAGACCCATCCAAAAACCCATTTGAAGAATCTCTTGGGACAAACAAAGAAACGGATAAATCTCCGGGACAGTGATTGGATAAGAGCTGCTTTGAATTTTTCCAAACAAGGTGCCTGTTACGATCAATTGGAGAGTGAACACGATGGGATAAGATTCTGAGATAGGTTTTTCTAAAAGAGGGTGCTAATGTGAGTGACAAAGAGGAGGCTAACACTGTTCCAGCGGCCATTGAAAAGGAAATTGGAGTTAATCGGAGCTTCTGTTTAGGTCACGGAGATGGGGGTTTAGCTTAGGGAGATTTTGTGCTTGTTTTGGTATCTGGAGCTACAGAAGGGGAGATCAAGTGGTGTTTAATTTAATGCTGAGAACAAACAATGCCGAAAGGTGACAGAAGCAAATATTTGGGGTTTTGGATTGTTAGCTGGATAATTGGAGATGTGCTCAGGCGGACTAAGCAGACAAACAGGGTGGACTTACCGACGTGCTATATCTATCTTCTTTTCTCTGGATTTGGAAAGGAACGGCCGCAGTAGAAGTGGGCTTTTGTGGAGGGATTTTTTGTGGACATGGACAAATATTGGACAAGGTAGAAAGGTCCAAAAGATCGCATTAGAGGCTGCGCACCTCTGTTCTTACAATAAAGGAAAAAAAATAAATTAAAAAAAAAAAGGAAACAAAAATTAGAGAAAAAATGTTTACTAGTCTTATGTCCAAAAAAATTAAGACTCTAAATGCTCAAAATTAATCGACTTAATATTAGAACTCGAGTCCTCTAAGTTAAAGTCTCATATTCTTGATTAATTAAGTCATTCCTTGGGGTAGGGGCATGAGTTGTTTTCTTTTTGAGTAGTGATGAAGTTAAGAATTTATTTTAGGAGAGCAATTTATATGGCTGCACATGATTGTACCATTAACATAAGGGATAATAAGTTCAAATTAAACATTTAAGGGTGTTTACACCATAAATTGCAAAACTTAAGATTATGCTACATGTCAATTTATTTTAAATGGTTGGAAGAGATTGAGCCACATTAGACATATTGTTTTGGGGCCTTTAATAGATCAGATGCCGCATATTTAAAAAAAAAAAAAAGAAAAAGAAAAAGAAAGAGAGAAAGGGGAAAGGTTGAAAAGATGAGATTTATTCGTTAATTGCCCGTTTGAGTCATGGTGGGATTGTTTTAGCTAGTTTTTAGGAGTTTGTTTCAGTTAAGATTGTGAGTTGGCAAATAACAGGGACAAATGACAAAATTTGGACAAAGATCTAACTCAGTCTACTACTAAGATGTTCATCTTCTTTAGGAAACCACCCACATTCGTGTAATTGCCTGGTAATGGGAAGCTGTAGGTAGGGAAGAGATAAAAAAAAAAGGGGGGGGGGAATTTTCTGATCATTCAACACATGACCAGCCCTACACACAACTCGTCAAATTTTCAATTCTCTAGTTTCAAAGCAATTGCTCACTTTCACTTACAGATTTCGATTCTTAGCATAGATCTCAGTATATTTAAGCTGATTTCAACAGTTAAATAGCCAAATTAGTTTGTTTAGTTGCTTTTATGATTTCCTTTCATGTAATAAGAGTAAAGGTGTAAATAAGGATTTCAACTTTGCACTTTTTTCTATTTAAGGATGTTAACTTTATCAGTTTCTAAATAAGGATGTCAACTTTCAATTTTTTTCTAAATAAGGATGTTAACTTTGTTAATTTCTAAATAAAGATGTCAACTTTCAACATTTTTTATTTAAGGATGTTAACTTTCAACTTTTTTTATTTAAGGATTAATTGAATAGTGTTGTTGACATGGCTAACATATTTTTTAAGTTAAATACCTGAATTGGTCCCTCAACTTTTATTTTTGAACCGATTCATCCTTGAACTTCAGAAAGTACCAAAAACGTCCTTCAACTTCAATTTTCAATTA